GGCTTGAGGTCTAGGGGTGTTTATTAGTGGCTGGCCGGGTTCCTGCTGTCTGGAGATCCCTGGAACTTGGGGCTGGGGACTTGCCCATTTTCTGATCAAGGGGTATCGGCATACCCCTGCCCTTCACCTGTCTCTGCACTACAGCAGGCCCCCTCTTTTGGCAAAGGATTTCCATTTTCGTATTTGATGTTATCAACAAAGTGGCCCATGTTTAACCCATATCTAGGACTCACGTCTTTATTCCGGGGTTAGGATAGCAAAGGGAATGAAGCAGTTTGCTTAGTCACTCAGGGGGGTAGTGAGGAAATAACAGGTATTTTCGGTGTGTCCCAATTGTAATCTCAGTAAGCCAACAAGACATCCCACTTCCCAACACTACAGATCATGCGATTACAGTGTCTGTGGCGAGATGATGCGCTGGGCCACTTCTGGACCAACAGTCATCAGCGAAAGATGGCTTGAGGTCTAGGGGTGTTTATTAGTGGCTGGCCGGGTTCCTGCTGTCTGGAGACCACTGGAACCTTGGGGCTGGGGACTTGCCCATTTTCTGATCAAGGGGTATCGGCATACCCCTGCCCTTCACCTGTCTCTGCACTACAGCAGGCCCCCTCTTTTGGCAAAGGATTGCCATTTTTGTATTTGATGTTACCTATAAAACGGCCCATATTTAACCCATATCTAGGTCTTGCGTCTTTATTCCGGGATTAGGATAGCAAAGGGAATGAAGCAGTTTGAGAAGATAGTTACGGACAGAAGAATACCATTATTGTCCCATTTCTCCGATGGAAATGATTTGATGTGGTTCTGTTTGCTGGGACTTTAAGAGGAGAAGGCCATGGTTTAATGGACACCCATCTTGGCAATAAGCCATTATGGAGGCTGTATTCTCTTAGGTCAGGCTTTTGCAGTTGGTCATGATCCCTTTGACAAGCCTGTTGCTCTGAATCTCAACCTTTGCTCCTGTACTCTTACAGGCAAGTAAAGGAAGACATGATAGAGAAATATAAAATTATAGTATATGTGATATGGAAGAACACCTAGGGAAAATTTGTGTCCCCTTTCTCATACTTGTCATCCCCAAAGCTGAATGGTGGGAGATCTGAGAATAATAAAAAAATAATCTTAGACCTGCACAGCTGGAAGGGACCCTACGGAGTCACATTGTGGAGTTTCTGGCTCCACTTCCAGATATCCGAACCAGTGGGCTGATCCAACAAGTGCATAGCTTTGGGAGTGCATGACTTTGAGATTCACTGCCCCAAGATGGGATTTCTGGACTACAAATGCTCTAATTTCCCATACTGAACAATAGTTGGGTCTCCTTTCAGCACATTCATCCTGATATATCTAGGCTATTTCATTTCTTTAAAGCAATGTGTGTTCAGACAATCCTTTCAAACTATTAGGAATTATAAGACTTGCTTCTTCTTTAGCTTTCTTTCACTGTCAGCTGCTTTTTTATTTAAAATTTCCCTGGAAAATAGCCTCATGGGGATTTTGGCTGCATACAGGGCATCACACACGATCTTTGGGTGTAGCGGATGCTGACACACGTCACATTTTCAATAAGGTCTGCTTTTTGCTTTTCTCCTCCCTTTCTTACACCTGATATTTGTACAGTGACAAGGCAGATCACTGATCTCAGATGAACAGTGGCACAAACTGTACTTAAATTTCACCTTCAGATTCACCTCCAGCATGATGCAAACATTTCATTTTTCAGTCTTCCTCTCGGTAAACAACTTTTGAAGGATGGCAGAAACTGGGCAAATTGTGGCTTTAGCTGAGAAACGGACAGTGCTATATTTTCTCCCACTCACCTGCAGGCTGTGAGTTCTTTTTTGCTACTGCAAAAAAAGTAATTGTGATACAAAACCTTGCTGTCTTCAGGTCTGGATTAACCATTTTTCACAGTACTCCTTAGAACGGGGGCTCAGCCATGCTTAGAATCCCTCCTGTGATGCATGATTTCAGAGCACTGCCACATGAAAAATATTGGTGTCCTATTTATTTCCTGTGTTGGGCAGCTCAAAACATTTTGTTGTCTTATTACCTGGCAAAGAATAAGTCACAGTTCTGGCCTTTTCCTACATCCGTTTCTTTCTTCTTGTGTTGAGATATTTGGCCAAAACCTTCCTTCAGGTGCCTCTTTAATTAGTGATAATGTATTGAGGAAAAGGGGATACATCCTTCTCTGTGATGCATTCAGCTTAGGAAGCAGATTCCCTATACATACCGGCATGCCCGGTGACAACTTGTGCCAGGCAAAAATGTGATAGGAACCAGAAGTTTTTTGACACCTTTGAAACTAACTTGTTCTTTTTTTATTTTTCACAAGTTTACATGTGTCTGAACACAGATTTTCAGATTAATGGAATGTCTTTTTTGACACCTTTGAAACTAACTAGTTTTGTTATTTTTCACAAGCTTACATGTGTCCGAACACAGATTTTCAGATTAATGGAATGTCTGTATCTCTAGGGGGAGTGCAAAACTGTTGGCAGGGAGTGTGTGTCAGAGGACAGCATTGTTTTTGTTAAGGCCTAGATAGAGTGTGCTGAACTTCTGATGTATTCTGCTCAAGAAGTGTCCAGGAGAGAATGAGCTTAGAGTTGCAAACCTTGAACACATCACCTTTGTTAAATGAAGGTTGTTGGGTTTGTTTGTTTTTTGCAAGTTTGAAAAAATTTCAAGGACAGAATCTAAAGGAAGGCAACTTACCAGGAAGTTCAGCAAACTCTCTTCAGGCTTAACAAGACAATGGTGTCCTGTGTCATTTTATATGATAATCAAACTATCTAGGCCTTTATCACCTAATCAGACGCTAACCATCACTACAGTAAGATAATTAATCACTGCCTATTATTTGTTAAAGGTCTTCTTTACTCCATTGTTGTCCTCTCATTACACACACACCCTGCCAAGAGAATTAAACTCCCCCAGAAACACAGCCACTGTTTATCTGAAGAAATGTGATTGAACCCATGAAAGCTTATGAAAAATAATAAAAAATAGTTCGTTTTAAAGGTACTATAAGGCTTCTGGTTTTTCTTTTGCTACAACAGACTAATATGGCCACTGGCTAGATTACTTTTTTCACAAAAACATGATGTCTCCCAAAGCATTGCAATTAGGCTTTGAATTGATTTTTTTTTCCAAAATGGATTTTACTCTCTGTTTTCTAATGTTTGTGTATTGTACCCCTTTGTGAAGTTAAATAAGGATGGAGGCTAGTATGCTAATGAGTTAAGTAAAACGAAGAAAACCATAATGGAGAGGGTACTGTCTTATTGCAGATTCAGACCACTGGTATGGTTGTCACTCACTGGCAGTGACTCTCTAGGGTCTAAAACAGATGTATTTCACATCCTTGGCCTGCCTTGAGGTGATAGATGTAACTGTGACTTGATATGTCCTTGTGCAAATAACAGGGCATCAGCCTTACTCTTCTCATCATCACATGATGGTGGGCTGGGCCTGGGGAGGTTCAGACTCTAAGGAAATGTTTCAATTTGCACAAGTGTTCTGTACCTCTCAGGGGAAGATGCACTATTGAAAAACATGATCAGTGTTGTTGTGTCGCTTACAGTTTGATTTCAAACCTCCACTGCCTTGTGGCTATATCCACTCATGGAAAAGGCTTCAGGAGTTAACTTCGAGGCAAAATCCAGACCCGGAGTCCCGAAGGCAGTTTGTGTCATTCTGCCAACTCCTCCAATGTTGCTGGAACCAGTTGTATTAGCTCTTGCCTTTCCATTGGACCATTTCAGCAATGTGGAGAGGGGGGATCTGCTTGTTGGGTAACAGCCTATCCTCCATATTACTTCACCCAGGCTTCATGCTCTGGAGAGGGCACTCCTCGATTCAGAGCATGTTACCATAGTCTCTCGAGATTGAAGGATGCCTATGCCTACTGTAGTAAGAGCAGTGGCAATGGTTGGGTTGTTTGTGTCTTTTTGACCAGTCACCATTCCCTCTTATATTGGCTGCATATAATCACCTTGACAAAGGAAAAATGGAATGAGTTTCTACTGAGAAGCATGAAGTTGGTTGGTTGGTTTTTTTAAAAAAAACATAGATTCCTCCTCTGCAAATAACAATTATCACAGTAGAAAAATAAAAGCATAAAAATGTTGATGGTATTGTCCTTGCTCTGGAGCTCGAATGATTCTGAGGGGCAGGTGATTTCTTTGAGGTGGTTCCTTGCTGCTACAAGACAGCCAGCCTCAAGCAGGATCTTGGCAGAAGCCTGACTTCCTCATCATCTTTCCAGAGATCACAGAGATGGGACATGGCACCTGCTGCGATCTAAGCGTGTGTTGTACCAGTAAGCCTTATTACGTCCTCTGCTCCCCAATCTGTTTTGACAAGCCTTGCTTTGGAGAATGGCAGGGGAGGGACGTTTTTTGAGCTAAATGACTTGATGGCTGGTGGCAGCCTATAATGTCTCCTCTAACGGCTGGTTGGGACCTTCGTTAAATGATGTGCACTATTTGTAATTAGCCCCATGGACTCCACTTGGCCTTTTCAGAAAACTCTTTTTGCACGGTTGTGATGTTTGAACTTTTAAACAGGTCTTCTCGGAATTATCCTTCCAGGAGCTAAAATTGCATGCCTTGCGGGGAGGGGAAAAAAGGGAGGGGAAAAAAGTTTGATTCCTGAGCTGTTGCAACACTGAGCAAAAAAAGAGGAATCGTCTTCTGAATATTTTTGGAAAAGATGAATGTCCTCCTATAGGTCTTTCATGCCCTTTGTTCCCGGCATTCAATTTGTCTGTATGGAGAAATGTCGCTTATATCATTCTGCCTCTTGTTCCGTTTGTGCAGAACGCAATTTTATGCCCAAGCGTTAGTGCTGGCAAATTTAAAAGGGAAGGTGTAATGCAAGGGACCATTTTTAATCTCCTGAAGGCTGAATCTCAGCCTGCTATCATTTGCACAAGCTGGTGTAAGCTGCGAACAAGCCAATATGAAAAGTTTCTCTTCCCTTTGTTTTCTCAGGTGCTGCTCCTCGCATTCACGGAAGATTTAGAATGCATCCCTGGATTCCAACAAAAGGTTTTTCATATTGAACACCCGCCTGCATTCACGGCAGACCGGCCAATTCTGAATTGTAAGAAAACATATTTTCATATGTCACTTTTGCACAATAATATTGTATTACCCCCAAGCCTGGGTGTTCCTATCACTTGCGGAATATATCAGAAATTCTCAGTCCTTGTGATGGGCTTTCCTCTAGGGTTTTCGCTTTCATTTCTACAGCAGAGTGATTGCTTTTTAATTTATTTTATAAAGCTCCCCCCTCCCCTAAATGGGGATTTATGCAGGCTTTGACCTTTTTCTGTCTATTACGATTTTCTGTGTGTATTGAAAAGGTCCTGTTCTTTAATCAGTGATTGCCTTGAATATTTACATGGACATGGGGAATATTCTGGTGCCCTTTCTCCAAAACTATTTGGCACTTGAATTCATTTGTCTCTTTTGGTATGGCAGTGAGTGCCCTTGATTGGAGAGTCTGACTTGTGGTTGAGTATGCTTCTTTGAATATTTCAGACATGATATTTCTTTTGTGTACTGGACCATGGAATCCAGTCTGAGACTTTTGATTCAAAGCTGATCTCTCACTCCTGCATGAGAGACTCCAATGGAGTAATGCTATCATCTGTGGGGAGAATGAATGAATGGAATAACCACATATCATTTTTGTAAGACAGGTGTCAAGCTAAAATGCTGGTGCCAACGTAAGACATTCTGTGAATTTGGCAAGTAAATGAGATGAATCCCGATGGTCTATATAATGTTTTAATGGTGGTTTCCGTTCTTGAGTTGTTTGATCCAGGTAGAAATGCAGGGGACTGATGAGAGCATGGCGTTATCATTCACAGGTCTGGAGGGTGAGTCAGCTATGAATAGGAGTTTTATCCACATAAGTCAGGGACTCAACATGGGGTATTTCTCCTATAGCATGGCTTGAAACAAGTTCACCCAGAATATATCGGAGCAGAAAGGAGCCATACTTTTCTACAGAAATAGCAGGCATGATTCGTTGTGAATTTCAGATGACTCCAGTATACTTTTGAGGAGACTTCATTTTTATTTGTCTTTGTCGTGGTGGCCAAATCTATGGATTCCTTCTGTCCTTGGTCAGTGTTCTCCAGGACTGGGAAGCGGACTTTCTGAGACAAGAGGAGTTGCTATGTGATGATGAGCAATCATGTTTTTCATTCAAAAATGGCGAGTTTCAGTCTAGAGGAACAGTGTAAAAAGAAACAAGCCTTCCATATTTCCCACATTGCGTAATGTAGAAGATGCTCTCTCCCAACTGCTATTCCTGACTGAAGGGAGCTAAGGTCCACATATTGTAGGGGGCTTGTTGCTTTCCAAAACTTGTGCCCTGAGATGTGAAAACAAACCCAAACATTCTCTGCTTTTCACTAATCTGCGTTGCTCTCTTCCTTAGTAAATGGTGGAACTCTGGTTACCAATTATGTTGGCTCTGCCTGTCATGGACTTCTTCTGTCTTGGTGTTGAGGTGCAGTGATGAAAGTTTGATCCATTCCAGCTCATGAAAGCTGGAGAGTTCTGTTTCTGTTCCACTCTGTTTCAAATATATTGTGCACATCTTTTCAAACTGATATGCCATTTCTTTTCCGGTCCGTGTTTAATTTGGGAAAATCACAAATGTTTTCTCTGTGCTTAGTACAGCCTACAATTAGGCTTTATGGCCGTCTACTTCTTTGGTCAAGCAAATTTTTAATGAAGTAACTGAGAAATCATGGATACTAATTAAGTGTGCATTATTATGCTACCTTCCTCCAGATTCCCTGTGTGTGGTGCCCTATATGTGGAGCATTAGAGATAGGAAAGAGGAATACCATGACTCTTTTCCTGCATTGTGGTGGGGTGAAGGCTCTCATCAATCTGGACTGGTAACTCTGATTTTGCAAGAATAGTGAATCTTCTTTGGGTTGCAGTGAATCAGCTCTAGGTTGGATTTCATTGGTGCTCTCTGAGGTTCTGAACCTATTGGAGTGGTAGAGTTCAGTGCTGTGTAAAGGTTCCCCTTGACATTTTGTCCAGTCGTGTCAGACTCTAGGCAGCGGTGCTCATCTCCGTTTCCAACCCATAGAGCTAGCGTTTGTCTGCAGACAATCCTCCATCCTCCGTGATCACATGGCCAGCATGACTAGACATCGAACAGCACTTACCTTCCCACCGAGGTGGTACTTATGTATCTACTTTCATTTTTGCATTTTGCATGCTTTCTAGCCACTAGGTTGGCAGGAGCTGGGACAAGCGACGGGGGCTCACTCCGTCACGTGGATTCGATCTTATGATGGCTGGTCTTTTGACTTTGCAGCACAGAGGCTTCAGCAGTTTAACCCACAGCGCCACCATGTGCCTTGAATAGAATCTTAAAGTTCATGCTAAAAGCTGGAGGAGAGTTTTCCATCTTCACTTAATGAAAGTCTCCAGCCTCCACTGGCTCTCATTTCACTGTTTGGAAAAACATACTCTTCTGTGAATCCCAACTTGCAGCTTGAAACAATATAGCCTAGGTTCCCATTCAGTCTCACAGTTCTGTTATATGGTGATTTTACTGTGTTCATCCGACTGGATGTTTGTTTTAATCTGTCTGCTAACCTGCAGATCCTAGAGTAGGGGTTGAGAATATGTTACCCTCTGGAGATTGTTAAACACAGGTAGCAGATCCTGTGGTCTGGTCTGAGGGGTTCTGTAGTTCAATAAAATCTGTAGAGCCACCAAACCCCCACTGATGCAATTGGTTTATCTCCAGGGGGTATGAGCTCACATCCTGAGAAACGGCAGGGAGGACAGAGAGAAAAGAGATGTGAGACAGAAGATTACAAGAAAATGTAGCTAGAAGAAAGAAAAATTATATGAAGCAGGAGGAGAAAGAGAATAAGATAGCTACGTATTTTGAATGATGATCTTGTACAGATTATCTTCTACAGATTTGTTTTAAGCATGTGTGAATTTAAATGTAAGCATTTGTGGCCTTGAAGGTAAAACATTTTAGAGGTGCCCGTTGAAACTGTACCTTGCTCTTAGTCACATAATGATATACGAGGGCAAAACATACAAGTCAGATTCCAGTGCCTTTTTGGGTCCCCACCTGGTCTTGTGTCCCTGCTCAATAATATGGAAATAACAAACTTATTTCAGCTACACTCATGGGACTGCAGAATCTGTGGTGACCCAGCAAATTGTGATGGTGTGAAACTGGCACATTAATTAAGACAATTATTAATATTGAGGGAGAAGAAAGAAAAAGCTACTGGAAAAAGCTACTACATTGTCTCTAAGAAATGAGGCGGTTATAATCAGGGAGACTAAATTGGCCAGATACATCATATTGGACCACAATGCATTGTCAGCATCATGGTTCTAGATCATTTAATGAGATCAGAAGTTGTTGACCAAGTTATGATGTTTCGAAGGCTACTATCTCGTTAGGCATCTGGACAGAGATGAGAAACTTTTATTCATTACACTGCAGTGCTCAGAAGTCCACAGTTGGCTTGGATGGCATCCGTGGTGGCTGTGCAATTTTTGGAGCTGTAGTTAGTTGGAAAAAAAGTCCTCCCCCAAGCTTTGCATTAACTATGATAATTCATTGTATAACATTGTGACTGTAGCCAGTCCTACTTTCATGTTCTATATTGGTAAAAAATATCTACATAGGTACATCCCACTTAAATAAATCCTTATACTAATGCTTCTTCTGTTTGTTCAGCCTTGCCCATTTCAGAACATAGGCGCTGTCTTTTGGAGCCATTGAGCTATTCATCCTATGAATTTTTCTCCTTATTTTCTTCTTCCACCCCAAGGATTAATTGTCAGCCTTTCTTTCTTTCCCTCCCCACCCTTCTTCAGCAATTTGTTGATGATTTCATAGTCAGTGAATCGGGATTGTGTTAATCTTCTGAAATCACTTTTGAGTTTGAAAGGTTGGAATCAGGGGTGTCCATGGAGGAAGCAGTTAAGCATGGCCCAGGGTGAAATTGCTGGGGGGAAAAGACAGGTCCAGCTGGTAGCACCAGCACTAAAAAGGCACTGAAGAGTCCTTAGAGTTGCAGTTTCCTTCACTAACACCCATGATCCTCCAAACAATGGTCAAGAGTTTTGTCCTTATGGGCATAATTTGGGGAAGAGACTGCAGGCAAGCATTTCTGATAGCGAATTCCATCCATGTTCACCGCCACATGGATGACTGAAAAGGGTGCATATGAGGCATCTACGCGCCTCTGGCTGGGGCTGGGTTACTTTCCTGGAGACAGGAAAACCTCATGAGATTCTTTCCTATAGTGTCCCAGTTGGTGGGATAATGAACAAGAGCAAGCTCTCTTTCAGATTCTAAACATCATTCAGTGCAGAAGTTCCCCTTCTCCAAACCTGATGCATTTCCACAAACTCATCAATATTTTTTATTGTCTGTTTAACTACACTGTGCATTTTTTTAATGTTGCCATTACTCAGGAACAATGCAATTTAGCCATTGTATCTGTACGTGCAGCACACCAAATGTAAATTAGCAAAGCAAATATACAAAGTGAGGCTCACGTTGATTGCTTTTGCAGTCTTCCATAAACCAGATACTTTTAATTCTTGGCTGAAGTGTGGAAGAAGAAATCGTATTTTGTCTGAGTATTACTATGCATCTCTCTTCCTCACACCCCGCCTTCTCCTGATTTTGTACTTTCCACCTTGCCTCTGTTCTTCCATGTAATTAGGTTTAAGGGCCATCATTGTTTTTTTACCTATAAACTAGTCGCTTGTAAATGTTGTTTTGTTCATTTTACACGAAAACTTTCAAGGGGACAAAAGATGCCAAAGTGAGTAGACATTGTTCCACATAGTCAGCAAACTTTTAAAATGCTGCCCACTGTGAAATAAAATAAACTCAGTTGCAATGCAGGATAGGGAATGAGAAGGAGGAAACAAATATGATTGTTCATCTCCATAAGCAGTGGAGAAAACTTTCTTCATACAATTCCAAGGATTCAGACAGGGGTTTCTCCTAGCCCTACTTGAAGATTCCCAATATTCCCTGTAGAGGTGAGTGGGGAAATCAAGAAGTTGGCTGTGTTA